GACAGAGAGGGGAGTGGTTATCCCACCTCAGCCACAGCGTGGGCACCCAGGACTTCAGCAGCAGCCACAGGGCAGGGAGGGGACCGTGTCTCACCGCGTTCACCCCTCGAGGGTGGTATTGGCACCAGCTTCTCCTGCTCTGTCCCTACAAAGCCTCTCCAGAAGTCAGGTGGCAGTGAGAGGAGCCGAGCCACCACCTGGGTAGGAAGGGATGGAGGATGGGGATGCTGGCAACACCCAGGGTACACCCCACACCTCAGGGACCCCTCACCTTGCACTGCCGTGGCGCATCCTCCAAAATGGTAAGCGGTGCAGGGTTGGCCGAGCTGTGTCCCACCAGCGTAGGGCCAAACACACGGGAGAGGTTGAGCACGTCCATCTTGCACTCGGGGCTATGTGACACCCTGCAAGGGGGGACAGCTGGTGTGAGCAGCTGCCTGATTAAGGGGCCCCTCATCCTCAGCCCAGCTTCCCCACTCTGGGGCATGGAGCCAGGGACAGACCCCAGGATGAGCCACTCACCTGAGCAGATGCAGCATGAGGAAGGCCAGGGTGTCCCTGTTGGCACGGGGCAGTTTGCTGACCACATGGCACAGGGCTGTGCTACAGGCAGCATCATCCAGGATGTCTGTGGTAGCACCATAGAGTAGTGTAAGGGGAAGAACAGCTCCTTTTCCCCCAGCTCAGGACTCCTGCTTACCGGCAGCCCGCAGGAAGGCAGGGTGGAGGCTGAAGGTGACCAGTGGCTCCTTGAGTCCCCGCAGGAAGTCCTTGAGCACCCCACACACCACATGGATGTCAGCCACACTGCTGAGGGTAGGCAGCGTGCCCCCTGCTCGCAGCAGCTTCTGCTTCCACTCCTGCACCAGCTGCTCCGCACCTGGTATGCGGTACAGCCCTGTCTGGGGTGCAGGGAGAGAGGCTCAGCCCTGTGGGTACCACAGCATCACCCCCACTACCACCACCCCAGGCCCTACCTCTGTCAAGCCTCGCTTCTCCACCTCGGTCACACACTGCACCACCAGCACTGGCACCAGGGGTGGCGTGGAGGGGGCAAAGTCTGCCACCACACCCTGGAGAGGACAACACCGACCCGCTCTGCATCTACCGCCCAGCAACAGCCAGGGCGGGCAGAGCCCTGGCATTGACATCCTGGCAGCTCCATGGGGACACAGAGCAACCCCTCAACACTGTCATGCTCCCCTCACCTCACAGGGCCAGGCATGGTGGCGAGGCTGGGGCACACAGGCAGTGGGGCACTGCTCCTGGCACTTGAGGTGCAGCAGCAGGTGGCACTGACGGCACTTGATGGCAGCCTTCCCAAAGCGGATGCGGGAGCCGCACACACCGCATAGCTCAGGGCGGATCACCTGTAGAGGGGAGCAGGGTCAGGACCCCCCCTTCTTGCAGACACCCACTACCACTCCTTCATCCCCCCCAGCCAGCCCCCACTGTCTCCATCCAGCCCACGTGCAGACAGAGCTGGGGTGGGGATGGCAGATGAAAGAGAGCTGTGCCCTCCCTTGCTCTCCCAGTCCTGCTCCCCCTGCCTGGCTCCTTTCTCTCTTCCAGGGAGGCTGAGGCACACACCATTTTGGAGGTGTACTGGTGCTGGAGGGTTGGAAGGCCTGGTGGAGGTGAGATGAAGGGGGATGGTGCTGGCTGCCCCATGGAGCTGCTCTCTGTGTGGCTGTCTTGCACCGGGGCATGGCAGCCTGGATCCTCACTGGTGCCTGACACCATGATTGGCTCTGCAGAGAGAGGATGCAGTGGAGGGGACCCAGAAAAGCAAACTGCCCCAGCTACCAGCTGGGATGTGGGGAGGCATCCCACTTCCCAGGGAACCCCTGCAGCATCCCAGGTGCCCTGGGACAGTGGCATTTCCATGTCCAGATGAACCCAGTACCCCCATGGTGGGTCAAGCATCCCCCAGCAGATCCCCTCCCTCCTCTATGATAGCAGCACTCTGAGGCTGGCTCCAAACCACCCACACGTGCCCTCCTCAGCCCTTCCCATGACCTGCACACATAGAGGCACGATGTCCCTGATGAGAGCAGCACCATGGCAGAAGAACTGTGGGTGACAGGCTGCCAGCAGGGCCCGGGACCTCAGCAGCAGGAGGGACACTTGCCTGCAGAGATGGGGGTCAATGAGAACATGCCCAGCTGCAGCCCACAGTACTCTAGCATCTCCCCATGAGCTCTGCTCCACTTGCCCCCCATCCCTGCGGTCCTCCACAGCCAGGGATGCTGTCACCACAGGTACAGGCTAGAGCACTGGTCCAGCACCACCAGGGATGCTATTCCCACTGGTACCACAGTGAAAGGCACAGGCACCCAGAATGGACAGCTGAGCACCTCCAGACCTGCAAGACTGAACGCTGCAGTGTTGCCTTCTGGCACCAGGGCAGCCCATGCATCCCAGCATCCCTACTCACAGCATTGAGGAGTGCCACAGAAGAACGGTGCCGCTTTGCCATCACCACGGGGCCAACCTGAGAGGCCAGGGACACACGCTGGGGACAGAGAAGACTGGGTGAAGGGAAGGCAGGGAATCTGTCCAAATCTGCCTCCCAACCCTGTAGTACTCAAGCCAAATGGTCTCAGCCCCACGAAAGGTCCTGGTCTCACCCTGTCCCCTAGCATTGCCCGCCCCATACCAGGCACTATGGGGATCCAGGCCCCCTGCCTGGGTCAGAGCCAGCCCTGGGGCTGGGGGAAGCCAGGCCAGGCCTGCAATGCAGAAGTGTGAGCAGAGTAAGGTGCAGGATGCCTGCACATGAGGATGAATTATTGAGGAGCCCAGCTGGGCCACAGTGGAGGGTAATGGAGTTTCTATTGATTGTGGGAGATTTGCTGAGAAACCAGCAAATGCTCCCAGCCCAGCATTCAACAAATTAAACCCCCTGCCAGGCTCCTGGTAGTCTCCTGTGCTGTGATGGAGAAGTATCTGTGTACCCTAACCCTGTATGGCCCAGGGCCAGCAACCCAGCCTGGGCTGCATGTTGGGACCTATATGGGCAGAGGGTCCCACAGGCACAGTGCAGGAGAGCAGAGCAGACCTAGGGGATTCCTCACCTCAACACCAGCCACCAGGGCTGCCACATCGTAGCATTTCCCACCTACCTGCCTCTCCTGGGCTTTGCGCTTCAGGGTCCTCACCACTGTTGTCCTATCAACATCCTGAAAGACAGCAGGAAGGCTGGGGCTGTCAGGGCTGCATAGGGCCAGAGGCACCCTCAACATCCATGGGTGGCTCCAACAGCCACCTGGGGCAGCCCACCCCTAACCATGGCCATGCAAAGGGGCTGCCCCACTGCAGGAGTGGGGCAAAACCACCTGCTCATTGTTGGGGAGAAGCTGAACCACGGGACTTGCAGTCGGTCATTTCTTACCACATCATCCTCAGTGCGGTCATAGCTGATATCCGAATGGGACAGGAGGGACTGGCATGATGCATCCACTGCAGATGACCTGTGGAGTAAGCTGGTGGTCAGCCCGGCCAGGGTAGCCCTCATGGTCCCCCAGCAAGCACCTATTCATACAGCCACTCCTGGGAACCCATGGCTGATGCCCCTGCGGAGCCCCAGCACCCCAGTGCCCAGGCAGCCCCTGGAGCCCAGCAGAAGGGAGGGGGAGAGAGGCACAGACAAGCCCCGGGC